CTAAGGGCCGGCGCGCAATAGCGCTCACCGCCGCATGGCTCCCCATGCGCTGGGGGCCCACCCTCCGGGAGCCAGCAGGTAGGAAGCTAGCCAGCCAGAAGGGTGGCGCTCCCCACCCGCAGCTCCCTGTGCGCCGGAAGCCCTCCTTCCGGGGAACCATGAGGCCGGGAGTGAGTCGCCGGTCCAAAGACCGGTGCTCCCCGCCAGAGGCTCCCTGTGCACTGGGGGCCCACCCTCCTCCATGGGAATTTAAATCAGATTCTATGCCCCTGGGCAGTGAGACTAAATTCTTACCCTCTCCTTGGCTGACCAACAAATATTTATCAATATTTATTCTGAGGTTCAGCCCTGAGTTAGATGAAGATATGGAGACTTAAGGGATCCAGTCTCACCTGGATGATACTCCCAGCTCAGAAAGGAACGTCCCCAGAAGCCAGACATGAATCATAGTTTCATACTTTTTTGCTTGGGATTATCTGAAGACAGGGACAGAACCAAATGAAGTAACTACAGACCCCTAATCAAACTAGTCATTCTCACTTTTTTAAGCAAAGAGAAGGCTTGTACCTCAATAAGACTTCAACAGACTGAGCTGCTGAAATAAAGAACATATTTTGAATAATAATCAAAAATTAAGAGTAATCAGCAAGCTTGTTAAACAAGGTTTACTGGCCATATCAGAGACTGGATCCAGATCCGGTCTTCAATTGTAAATCCTGTTTGCTACCTGTGGGCAAGAGAGAAGTCACACCCAAAGCCTATTGCAGCCACAGGGAATTCCTGAAAATAGTATTTAAGAATCAAAACTGGGTTTGAAACCAAAGTGGACACAATTCTTAGCTTGCCTTGTTTTTCAGTGATCCCCATTAAAGGGGAAATACCTCAGTGTAGGTCACCTAAAGTGACACATGATTAAAAGGCATGGATTAAAGCTTTTTAGGGCAAAGATGCCAGTAGACTCTAAGACTGAACTGTACATGATCTTTTCTTTTTGTCATACTGATTTTCTGATGCTGTTTGCCTCAAGATTCAATTAAACACAGAGAATCTACCCAAAGGAAATCTGGGGACTGACTGGTTGAAGAGCCAACATTCTTAGACCAGCAACAACCATTATATACCTGAGAGGCCTCAGGCAACATTCCCTAACCCAGAACAGGACTGGGGAAGACAAATACTGTTCACTACTCCTCCCTGCTCATAAAGTTTATATAAGAGGGAAATGCAGGCCCTAAGCCCTCAGGCTATAGAACAGCTTGCTTAACTGTGAAAGCTGGGATTTGCCATATCAGCAATTTACTTCCAGGTCCAGAGGCTAGTGTGCACAGGTCAGCAGCTTCTCTCACTTAGTGGCTCAGCTACAATACTTTTACTGTCAGTGTATTCCCACTCACACTGCCAGCACTAACAGGACCTCTTATTAGGAGAGAGTAGAAAATCACAACCTAGCCTGCAGTGGAAAGAGTAATGACATTGGTGTCTAGAGATCCAGGCTGCAGTTTCTGTCCTGCTGCGTACCCCTAGGAAATGATTTAACCTCTCTGGGCTGTGAGTTCTTCATCAACCTCCACAAATCAAAGGGTTGAGTCTCTATATGCCCCTTTTGGCACCTGCAGTCCAACAGTGCATAATACTGCCCCAGAACAGCGGGGAACACTAATGACAAAGTACCCTCTGTCCCCTGCCTCTCAAAGGGTATGAACCTGGTGTGCCTGGGAGGCATCCCTTATCCCTTTCCTATGGATCCAAAGATAAAAGGTACACTGTGCCTTGAAAGAATGCAAGATTCAGAACCCAAAGACTTAAGTCTAAGTCCTGGATTTACCACTCTAAAAATTGTGAGAATTTGGGAAAAATCCTTAGCCTCTTCAAGCCACTTTTACATCCAGAAATGAAGGTAACAATTCCCTGGGCATACAAGACTGTTAGGAGGTTAACACACAATAAACACAGGCCATAAGCCAAAGAGTGTCCACACTGGAAGTGTCCAGACCCACGCAATTGTAGTGCTGGGTGCAGTTTCCTGTGTACACTGCGAACTCCTTGGGAAGCTTTGAACTCTGGCTCTTACCCTGACAGAGTGAGCTCCAGGAGAATCCAAAAGTTCGTACATCCTGATAAAGCCCCAGGACCTGAGGATTTTAAGACACAGAGTAAAAAAGTAATGAGAAGCCTGCTCCAAGGACAACTCTAACTTTAAGAGGTATGTCATAAGCAGGATATTACTACTACAATCTATCCCTTAAATTCTGGGAAAGGGAAAGTAGTGTGGGATATGGAATTGGTGGTGGGTTGATGCCAGGAAAGCTGGCAGGAGGAGAAATTCCATTACACAGCAGTTCTCCTTGATAGCTGTTGTCCCCGCTTAACATCCAGGCACAACCACTCCTTCAAACTGCTGGCCAGCACGGCTGGAGAGAGAAGGGAAGTAGCCACCCCAGAGGCTACTTATACTTACTTCCTGGGCCAGGACAGTAGAAAAAAATTGTTTCCATTCTATGGAAGTGTAAAGGGCTTCCAAAGCTTTAGTCCCACCCTGCCAAGCTCCCAAGGCCCTGGCCTGCATATATGTTATTCTTCATAAACTACCTGTTGCCCTTTTAACTTCAGTTACATGAGAACTGTGTGGTTTTGGCTAACAGTTTTGACAAACAGGCTTGTATCGTATCAAAGTGTCAGTGTGGGGCCCAGAAGGGCAGGTGTCATGTACCTCAGATCCAAGAAGCAGCCTTCTGGGCCCTCCTTTCCTATATCCCCTCCAACACAGCTTGTGAAGGTAGCAGGGCTGTGAATCATGGAACTAGATATCCTCACATCACCTTCTTTCCCTCCTCTCCTGCCCTGAAGATGCCTGTATAGGAAGTTGAGTCTGGGGCTGGGCGTGGTAGCACACGCCTGTAAGCCTGTAATCCCAGCACTTGGAAGGCTGAGGCAGGAGGATCTCTGAGAGTTCAAGACCAGCCTGGGCTACAAAGTCAGCTCAAGGCCAGCCTGAACTGCATAATGAGACCCTGTCTCAACAAGACAAAAAAAAAAGGAAATTAAGTCTGCTGCAAAAATAAATTAAACTGAGATGCAAGGAGTCTCCAACTTTTTTTGTGGTTTATGAATCAGAACCTGAATTTTCTCCAAAGGACTTATCTATGATCAAAGATAAGCCTCAATGTGTCCTTAACACCATGGACTGCCACAACCTTTTGAGAGGAACCGTTTCCCCCCAAAATAAGTTCTAACCAGAAAATAATCAGCCATGCAAACTAGAGATCAAAAATGCCAGTTTCAATCACCTTGCCTTACCCGTCATTATAAAGTAGCCGCCGAGAAGACAACAGTGAGGTATAATCTTCTCCATGACACTGGCTATCACCATGAATGACCAAAGCTTATTTTCGGGTTAATTCTTACTTTCAAGGAAATATAGAGTTCACACACACATAGCCCTCCTATATGGGGCCTGCCCATCAGACAGATATTGAGAGAACTGTCAGAGGAAGCATAGTGAATTTCTACTAGCCGAAAAATGTCATTTGTATAGGTCTCCCTGGATTACCTACAATGGGTCTGTTCACTTACACAATAGCTGGGTTGAACCTGTAGTTTCAAACTGATTCCACTTCTAATCATCTGAACGGATCATCTTTCCACCACTGTCAGTGAATAGGCCTCAAAAATTCCAGTGATCTGTCCCCTCTACAGATATAGGTACAGTCAGGAAGCACAAAGATACAGGTACAGACAGGACCTAATCTGTCATGTTGTGCAAGCTGGACATGCTAGCAAACACACATTTCAGGGTTAAGTGTATAAAGGCTGTAAGTCTTAAAAATCTGGCATACCAAGTCTTAGAAAACCTCACACACCTATGTGTCATAATCCTACAATGGCCTATCATTTGCCAGCTGATATGATAAAAGGTGATAATCAGTTACTGTCCAGATACCCCACTAGGATTAGAAAACATGCTTGTATAGACACACCTCATGCAAGATTAGTGCAAACTGAGAAACACAAGATTTGGTATTACCTCTTCTCTGAGGCTTATAGCATAGTGCTCAGCAAGCTGTGTTGGCTGGATTAATGAATAAAGACTTCAATCTGGACCTTAAAAGGGATCTTAAAACTGACAGAAAAAAGAGAGAAAATATCTTAACAATCTTAGAAAAACATAAGCCTCCAAAACCAACATGCAAGAATGAAATCCTGTCATTCTGGACACCACAGATGAAACTGGAGGACATTATGTTAGGTGAAATAAGACACAAAAAAGACAATTGCTAATTAAGAAAAGAGAAGAAAGGATGTAATAGGTACGGAGATACAATTAGGCAGGAAGAATAAGGTTTAGCATTTTATAGCATACTAGGATAACTATCATTTATAACAATTTATTATGTATGTCAAATAGCAAAAAGCTCAAAAAGCTTGAAAGTGCCCACACAAAAAAATGCTAATCACCTCTGATTTGATCATTTCACACTATATGAATGTGTCAAATTCTCATACACACAACTATCATGTGTCAAGTAATAAAAAATGTTTAACTAGATAATTGAAGACTATTACCTGTTTGGGGCCATCTGTGCTTGAGAGTCCCATATTTTAGAATTCCATAGAAAAGTAATGACTTCCTCAAAAAATCTGTCATTTTGACACATGAGGATATGAAAGAAAACATTGCAGCCTCTTATCACCACTTTTATAAGAAACTGTATTTTAACACACAAAAAAATAGGAAAGCCATGATTTCAGAATTACAGACTTTTCTTCCTATAAATGCTCTGTCAACATCATTTTACTTAGATTTCTACTAAGGACTGATGAACACATGGTAATGGGTCAATGTGGGCCACAGATCAGTGTGGGAGCCATAATCCCTTTCTCCCATGTGGCTCATAAAATAAATGGTTCCTTTTCCTACTCATGAGATTGTTTCCCTCCAAAACCTCCAAGGTGCTTCAGCTTCAAACAGAGAAAACTGCCTTTTCCAACAGATTCTGACTTCTCTCTCCTAGGTGTTGTTGAAGGAGAGAAACACCTGGATTCAGCTGAGTTCTTGCCATCCAAATTGAAACCAGTGCCACAAGTTTCTGAAAGCCACGTCTAATCAGGATCATTTGAATTATTAAAACTCCACCATAATTAACAGTCAGTTTCTTATTGGATCAGTTGTTTCAACACATAGCTGGGCGGAATGAAGTTTGAATGTGATACCTTAAATAATAACAACTGAGTTCCAATGATGAAAGAAGGGAGAGCTTGCTGTTCTACAAACACAGAAGTGATGCTTCCGGCCCAGAGTCAACAGAGAAGTTTTGAGTTAATCTCCTAAGAGAAGACTTGAGCTTGTCTCAAACCATTCATGGACTCCTTTCTGGCTTTAGCACCCAAGGTCAAGTGAGATTGGAAATAAGGATATGCAGTTATGTGACAAAACAACAGAAAAGACAGCATCACTTCTTCACTTTAAGTAACTATTCTCTTTCTACATGCCTGTACAATAGGTATTACTATCCCTATCTGATAGACAAGTAACTGAGCGTCAGAAAACTTGATCATTCAACAGTCAAGAAATACTTGCCCAGTGCCTCCCGTATGTAGGCACTGCATAAAGAGCTATGACTTAGCCCAGCTGGCAAATAACAAAGGCAGCACCCAAACCTAGTCATGTAACCTCAAATCTATTCCATTCCATGGCTACCCCTCTGGCTGAGGTCAGCGTTGCTGCAAGATACCAAAGTCAAAGGGTCATGGCAACAAGGACTATACAGTCCATCTCTTCAGTCTGCACCTCTGCAAAGAAAGTCAATACTGAATTCCAGTGACTGCTTTCTCCACAGACAATTCAGAGTAGCCCCTAGTGTCACTTAGTTACAGCACTGTCCATGATGTGCAGTCCAAGAACTGGGAGCTGGGACCCATGTACACTTACAACTCAGTAGCTAGGACAGAAACATTCCAGCAAAGCTCTCATGAAACACAGGAGGAAAATTCTGGCAAAAGAAAACAAATTCTAAAGTTCTCGGGTTTCCAGACCAGTAAGATCAGAAGCCATGGGATCTGAAAGGTCCCACTCCTTGTATCAAGGACTGAGATCTCCAGTTTGATTCTCATAGGCTGCCTCACACATCTGGGACCTATGCCTCAAGCTGGTTATATGTGCCCCATTCCAGAGGTGCTGGAAACAATGTCTGCCATCCACTCAGGCTGGCCATTGCCACTAACCAGCCTGCTCCACAGTTACATCAGAGAAGGGGCCAGTCATACACTAAGCTGCCCATCTCAAGAATGCCAAAATCTTCATGAATGGGCCACCCTGTGCCTGCAATCTCAAGGAGGTGGGGCCAAGAGCTGTGGGTCACGTTAAGTGAGGTTAAACACGAGAGGTTGGCCTGATCAATAGATGAGTCAGGATAGGCAAAGAGTATAAAACCTCAGGAGTTCCAGTGCTTCTCACATCGCCAGCAACTCCTCTCCTCACTCACCCTCCCTGGTGCTTTGGGTAAGTGGGGATTTACTGGCTCTCCTCTTCCTAGCTGGACTTCAGTGGATGGGGACTCTCTCCCCTTTGGAAGTTACAGGATATTTACCTTCCTTCTGTACTGCACTCATACTAAGAGGGAAGGTGGAAAGGGATGGGATGCTGAGTTCTTGGTCTTCTGGTTACAGTGTAATCTATACCAACCAGAGACTATCACCTGCCTCTCTGGAACCCTCAAAGGAGCAATAATAGCGCTAGAGACAGAGAGGGATTCTGCGGTGGAGGTCCAAGGGCTGGCTAACCTCATAAAACAGGAGGCGGCGCTGAGCCCCAGGTTAGAGAATATGGAGAATGATTTAGAGGACGCTGCTGAGAAGGATGTTAGGTGCCTGGCAGGAGATGCATGTCCAAAGGACCACCTAGGTCCTCCTCCCTGTGCCCAGGTAAGGCCAAGGAAGACCTTGTCTTTATTAATAACTAGTCATTGGGTCATAGCCTCACTCAATGGAAAAAGGCCAAGAATTTGAACTCAAGACTTTGCAAAAAAAGGGATGTAACAGTCCTCTGGCACCCCAGCATATCTCCTTAGATTGTGCTGGAAATGGTAAAATCCTCCTTCCTAAGTAGAGATTTGTAGTAATTTTCTATTTGAACTTAAAAGTTCAAATAGAAATCAGTATTAGGACTGGAAGAAGCCTGTTCAAACCGTCTCATTTTACAGAAGATGAGAAGCAGCAAGTGTGGGTGATCTGCCCTAACAACACATCACAGAGCTCAGGCAGAGCTTGGAGGGGGTAGGTGCCAATAACTCGACTATTTCAACTTGGCCAAGAGCTTTCTAAGACAGGAATCAACTCCTTCCCAAAAGTAGCAACACAGCTGAAAGTTGGGGCTCCTGAAAGGAACTTGGAGCTTAACCAAGCAGACTGCTTTCAAAGCAGGGAGGTTTGTTACCATGGATACAGCTGCATCCTTCACCGTGCTCTCGTGGCTGGTCCAGTGATGCTTTTCCGCTCTTCTTTCAGGGTGCCCTTCCTCCTCAGACAAGATGTCTCACCAGAAAAAGCAGCCCACTCCCTACCCTCCAATTATTTGCAAGACCTCTGGCGGTGGAGGCGGTGGCGGCGGCGGCGGCGGCGGCGGCTCCAGCTGCGGCGGCGGCGGCAGCTCTAGCTGTGGAGGTGGCTACTCCGGCGGCGGTTCCAGCTGTGGAGGGGGCGGTAGCTCCGGAGGAGGCATCAAGTACTCGGGCGGCGGAGGCGGCGGCGGCGGCGGTGGCTCCAGCTGCGGCGGCGGCTACTCCGGGGGCGGCGGCGGCTCCAGCTGTGGCGGCGGCTACTCCGGCGGCGGTTCCAGCTGTGGGGGTGGCTCCTCCGGGGGCGGTGGCGGTGGGTCTTCCAGCCAGCATTATCAGAGCCAGAGCTACGGCGGCGGTTCTTCCGGGGGCGGTTCCAGTTGCGGCGGCGGTTCTTCCGGGGGCGGTTCCGGTTGCGGCGGCGGCTCTTCCGGGGGCGGGTCTTCCGGCCAGCATTACCAGTGCCAGAGCTACGGTGGCGGCTCCTCAGGGGGCGGTTCCAGTTGCGGCGGCGGCTCTTCCGGGGGCGGCGGCTCTAGCTGTGGCGGGGGCTCCTCTGGAGGCGGCGGCGGCGGCGGCTCCTCTGGCCAGCATTACCAGTGCCAGAGCTACGGCGGCTCCTCCGGGGGCGGTTCCGGTTGCGGCGGGGGCTCTGGAGGCGGCGGCGGCTCTGGCTGTGGCGGGGGCTCTGGAGGTGGCGGCGGCTCCTCTGGCCAGCATTACCAGTGCCAGAGCTACGGCGGCTCCTCCGGGGGCGGTTCCGGTTGCGGCGGCGGCTACTCTGGAGGCGGCGGCGGCTCTAGCTGTGGCGGGGGCTCTGGAGGTGGCGGCGGCTCCTCAAGCCAGCATTACCAGTGCCAGAGCTACGGCGGCTCCTCTGGGGGCGGTTCCGGTTGCGGCGGCGGCTCTTCCGGGGGCGGCTCCAGCTGCGGTGGGGGTTCCTCTGGGGGCAGCGGCTGCGGAGGGGGTTCCTCTGGGGGCGGGGGCGGCTCCAGCTGCGGAGGTGGCTCCTCTGGCGGCGGCTCGTCTAGCGGTGGCAAGGGCATCCCAATCTGTCACCAGACCCAGCAGAAGCAGGCGCCTAGCTGGCCATGCAAATAAGGCCCCCTGGATGCCGCGGAGACAAAGGAGCTGGAGGTGTTCTCCGTGGGCACCGATGGGCTTAATGTTCTCTTGATACTGCTCAAGGTTTCCAAATTTTTTGGTGTCTCTACCTACCTAGAAGAAGCCATCGAGTTCTCAAAATGCATCTCATTCTGCAGTTTTTCCTTCTTAGTTTCTGTATGACTACCTCCAATTCCAGTGCCTCTTCAATCAATAAATTTTGCAGTTCATGAGAATCTCTGGGTCTCTAGCAGTCTTTGTAGCTTCAAATTAATCTGTTCCATTCTGTTTTTTCTTTCTTTTCATTCATTCATCCACGCTGTCGTTAACATTCTATTTGGGGGAGGTCGAGTAACAGAAGTTGGCAGTGGAGAAATGGCTAGCAAACGATGACTAAAGATGTAAACAGTCTGGTTTAAGGCTTATAACCACGAATTGAACCCCCAGACGAAGATCTGTTAAAGTACCTTACTAAACAGCCTGCAAAAAGCTGAGTAGCCACTAGGGGCGAGGGTGTGCTCACTGAACTCAGTTTTTAAAAGATAGGCTGTCCTGGAAAGATGCGCTCTCTCATAGTCCAGCGTTTATTATGCAGACTCTATAAACAAAGGGGCTATCCATTAAGAACGTTAGCCTATGCTACCCAAGCTCACAAGAGAAAGAAAGAATATATCAGATATTCATGAGTCTCAAATGTGTGAGGCACTTTACTAGGACAGAAGGAAGTAGGGAAGCAAGTCCCTGCCGTCTTGGAGGAATGTCATCCAATTTAGGAAGGCACAGCATAAGTGTATGAGATGTATCACTACCAGAAAGTCCATGAGAAAACAGGAGGCTTTCTAATCAGCAAGGAAGAAGCTACAGGTGCTCCAAGAATATGATAATTGCATAGCTCAGCAGAGATGTCAAATTAGCCTGACCAGGCGCTCTTTTGTATTTTAGTTTTATCGGCTTTAGGTAAATGCTAATTTATTGATTTTCTCAAAGCAAAACTACTATACCAGTAAGCCAAGGCCCCCTCTCTACTTGGTCACTGCTACAAACTGAAAAATAAATTCTCCCCAACTCTCTACCATCTAGAATCACCCACCACCACTTTCATCATTTTACATTAGAAATTTGCAGAGATCAAGAACAAGTAGCAGCTTTAACAATATAATAATCCACTTATTTTTAAATGAATGAAAAACTTTCAATTCTAGAGAAAATGAAATGGATGCATTTGTTCCTATTGATCCTATTTATTAGCGCTAAACTATCCAATCATAGCATATAAAACATACAGGACTTCGAACGGAGGAGAGAATCAGAATTGCTGGAGTCCCCAGAATGAAAGAAGTGACACAGCTGAATTCCTTGAGTTTTTGCCTACTAGGTGTCCCAGATTGAGCACTAAAAAGTATCTAACCAAGATATGCTGACATGCAGAAAAAAGTACTGCCCCCTCCTTCTTTATCCAAAGGATCAGGAAAAAGCATAGCAAGATTGACAATTCTTTGACAACATCTACCCTTTTTCAACCACCATGGAAAAATATGAACAGGAGCCCTGAGCTTTCACGCTTAAAGGAGTCAACATGAACTTATGAAGAGGTAAGGAGATGGTACACTTCTCACACACATTGGTGTGGTATTAGCAGAGGTCTACAGTAATAGAGGATTTAAATAAGATATAGAGTCATATAATACCCAAAAGGTACATCATATACACATCAATCACTTGTCATAATAACAGAAAAATCTTGAGTTTAATGAAAAAGGCCAAATCAATAAGATTCTAGCACATTTTGGAATTATCAAGATATTTAAAGAAACTATTATAAAACTGCATTAAGAGGCTTCAAACACACTTGAAATAAATGAAAAAAAAAAGATACAAAAAAGATGGAAAGAAATATAACCTATTATAGAACTGAAATTTATAACTGACAATAGCCTCAGTAAAAAGGAGATGATGGAGTAAAGAACTCAAAAAGATTAACTGATCAATAGACTGGAAAAAGATAAGAGATTCAGCAATCTTTGAGACAACAAAAGATTTGGCATTTGTGTCCGAATCCCACAGGAAGAGAAGGAAGTGTGAGCTGAAAATATTAGAAGAAATAATGGATCACAGTACCACAAACACAATCAAAAAAAATTTGAAAACAAATTTGGTGGGCTGATAAATCTTCAGCTTCAGAAAGACTCAAAAGGACAAGACATTTCTTGTCACAAAGCATAAAGGCCAGAAAAAAAGGGCACATTTTTCAAATGATAAAAGAAAACTGTTAACTCCATACTGAATAATACTGTATTCAGTAAAAATACCCTTCAAGAATGAAGATAAAACAAAGATAGTTCTTATGAAAGAAAACAAAGGACATGTGTTGCCAGCAGATCCATCCAAACAGAATGGCTAATGGAAGTTCTAACAAAAAAGAAATAATAGAAGAAGCCCTGAGGAACATCAGGAATAATGAAAAAGGGACATGAGGAGAAGATCAACATGGCCAGCTAGGGTACTGCAGCAAGTATATGGACTCTGGACTGCACTGGAACAGGCAAGTACCTTGAGACCTGAGGCAAGGGCTACAGAGAAAGTAAGGTATAGGAGGGTGGGCAAGTGGAAAGATAAACTCACTGGACAAAATCCAACATAAGGGGAATTTGGAAGAGAAGGTAGGCTGCTCCTGGATCTTGGCACCCCTTACACTACAGAGCCAGGATACAGCCATTTCAGAAGAGGGAGAGACCAGGCATTTTAATGGTGACCAGGAAGTTGGAATAGGCTCACAATCACTCTAACCTGTATATGGGAAGAGGATCAGTGTAAGTGACATATTCACAGAGGAGGGTTTCAGAAAGAATGAATTGGGAGACAAACGTGCCACTGGGATTAGAGACCTGAATCTAAGTGCTGATAGAACTGACACCCAAGAACCATGTGAATAAGCTATGTCTGGATTCAGTGGCACTTTGGGTAGGGAGGAGTCTTACCCAACCCAGAAATAATCACTTGTCCATACCCCATACAGTGGAAGTACAGGGCTTGAGGTGGCATCTACTGTGCTGCCTAAGCTAGCCCACAAGAGCGCATGGGAAAGTACTCAGCACTCTGCCAGGCCTGGGAGCTGGGGGGCTTCACTAAAGTTTTTCCATTACAGCAGGATGCTCTTGGGACTGTAACTGGTAAAAACCTGCAGGCAGAGGAACAAAAGTTGCACCTACGTCAGAGAGCTTCTGGCAATATACTAGGCAAAGAAGTGTGAAGGGAAAACATGCGACAACTGCAAGATTTGCTCTGCATTGAAGGGAGAATAGTAAGAGGAATCTGGAGGATGTCAATAGAGAACCCATTAATAGGCAAACTAGACCACATCTTTCACCAAATTAACTGAGGGTCAAATCTTGGGACTGCGACAAAGGCCTAGAGTTAGCCACACCCAACACAAAGCTCATAACTAGGAGGCAGGATCAGAGCCATTCACATCAGCAGAAATCCTTGCTTCAAGGCATGAAACTAAGTAGACCAAAGGAAGAACCTGTTTTGGAGGCCTGTAATCAGACTGATTGCAGCATAAAAAGAGATGTGTGGATATTTTTGTTGGATGCTATCGCAACTGTGTGAGGATTTCTATTTGTTTCTTTGCTTGTTTGTTGTTTTGGTTTGGTTTGGTTTGGTTCTTGCTGTATTCTTATTATTATCATTATCATCATCACATCATTATTATTGTTTTAATTTAGTTTATATTTTCTTTCTTTATTCTGATGTCTCTCTTTTGACCTTTTTTCCCTATTATTTTTCTTCTCTCTTCCTCATTTTCTCATCCTCTTATCTTCTCTTTCCATATTTCATAATATATATAGATATAGATATAGTATTTGTATATGAGTAAAAGAGAATAAGAATTAACCAGTGCTTTAACTTAAATAATACCTTTCATGGGTTCATCAGTGTAACCTTTACCAAAATTGTGCATAAAGGACAATTGTGCAAACAAAGCTGAGGATACAAACATACTGACTGGTTCCAACACTGCATACAAAAGAGAAAAGAAATACGCCTGCAAAAACTCCCAACACCCCCAGAGCAGATACAACGGGGAACTATGGAGAGGTGGAATACGGCTGAAGTATATAAAATGATCAAGTAAGAAGCAAAGAAACTCAAGGAGCTCAAAGATGATATAACCAAACAGAGGAACATGATTGAATAAACTGATCAGTGAACTTAAAGAAGAGTCCAATAACAATTAGAAGAGCCATCTAGAACCACTCAAAACATGAATCACAAATTTACCAAAGAATTAGAGTCCATGTAAAGGTACCAAACAGAAATCTTGCGTTATAAGAATTCTATTGAAGATATGAGAAGAAGTGACCAGTGGGAAGAAAAAAAACCAAGAATAGTATATCTAGAAGATAGGTCTGATATGCAAAATCATGTACTCAGATGTATGTTAAAAATAAGACTGTATGGTACAAACAATAAAAACACTCATTTCAGAAAAAAAGACAGAAAGGAAAATTAATCACACAGCTACTAGATGATACAAAGAAGTCTCACCTAAGACTAACTGGAGAAAAAATTCAGAGAAGAGCACACATAGAATAAAAAAAAATCTGTTTACAGAAATTATAGCAGAAAAATTTCCAAGTATGTGGAAAATATTCAACATACACATAAATGAGGCATATAACTCCCAAGTAGGAAAAAGACTAGAATGGGAGAAGGGGAAAGGAAGGAAGTAAAAATAAAGAAAAAATACAATTTAATTATACTATTGGTGTCTCTTAGTTCATAGAAAAGGAAGGTATGCACTAATATCAATTGGAAAAATTTTTGTGCCTGTATCTTTTACTCTGAGTAACTACTCTAAAGATAATAATATGCAGCGTATTAACTATTGTTATTATTCTATTATCTCATTGTGAAATTTTGTATTACTTTTTTCATAAAATAAAAAAATTAAAAATTTCAAATAGTCATAAAACATGCTTAAATAAATACAAAAGAATTGAAATTATTCCATGCTTTCTATCAGATCATAGTGCACTAAAGCTAGAAACCAATGGCAAAGGAAAGCCACAGAAAACTTACAAACACCTGGATATAAAATGACACATTCTTGAAGCATTTATGAGTCACAGAAGAAATTAACAACTCCTAGAATCAAATAGTAAAGCCAGTGCAACATACTAGAACTGATGAGACCCAAGGAAAATAATCCTAAGAGAGAAAGTTAATACTGTGA